ACCACAAGAGAGAAAGAAATGGGGAACAGCATGAAGTCAACCCCTGCGCCCCCAGAAAGGCCTCTGCCCAGCACAGATGGTAAGTCTACCCTGAGGGAGCCCAGGGGGAGGACTAGACAGTGGTGGACACTGATAATTAAGAAACCAGAATCATGGGCATCTGGGGTTCATGAACTTGTCTTTCTCATTTTGTCTGTGGTTCAAATGTTTCATAATTAAAAGTTTAAAAAGGTTGGGTGCTTAGCAATAATGCTAAACTGTTGACATTTTGAGATGGCTTTCCAAAATCAGCTGAGCATTTATTTTACAATTTATTTTATAGTTGAGGGAAACTGAAGCCCACAAAGGGAATGTAATCAGTGTCAGTAGCTACTCACAGTCATATTTCTAACCCAGGATTATCTGATTCTAAAAGCTAGACCCATACTCACCATATCCTACCAGGCTGTGATAAATATTATCACCCATACTGTTAGCCCTGCCAGAGTTTGACCAGTGCTACTTTTCTAAGTGAGATACTGTCCCTCAGGTGTCCTTCTGAAAATGCAGGACTCCTGTGTCTCACTGTATGATGGCAAGGTACCAGGGATTCTCAGTGGAGAACACAGGGTTGCAGGTTACTCAGGATGGCAACACTCAGCCCTGTGGAAAGAAGCCAGGTTGGGCCATACTCAAAAGCTAGTCCTTCAGCAACAGAAGGACTTCAGCCAGCACAAGGCAAAGGCTGAAAGTCAAATCCATTGTGCTTTGGGGTTTGCTGTGCTGGTGTTTCTCACACAGTTGCCTTTGTTTCTGAAGCTTCCTAGTGCCAGCAGTGGTGAGCATTCTGTGTGGGTCTTCAGGGAGAGGGGAAAGGAACTCAGGGAGACCCGTTGGTCATCAGTGTCTACAGGGTTAGTCCCGGGGGATCTTGGGACACACCTGCTTTCTCCTTTGCATCATAGCACAGGGGACCTGGTGTTTGCTCCCAGTACAGGTGGCCAAGCCTTGTTGCCCTGACCCCTGCCCGTTGTACTGAACAGAGGCCATGGAACACAGATGGCCACACTCTACTGCCCTGCCACTGGCTACTGTTCCTTCATGGTGCCTCTGGCCCCATAACAAACAAACCTCTTGCTTTCCCCAAATTTAGGAGCCACTCAGCTCCTAAATTACACATCCAGTGACCCTTCAGATGCCTGCAGTGAGCATGGAGAAACCCTGTCCCCTACACCCTTCCAGTCCTGATGCAGGGCACTGCTAGGGGCTCTTAGGTTTCTAGCCCGGCATCTCCCCTCTCCAAACCAAATGGGGGAAAACACAAAGAAGGCACACAGGGCCCAGGGACAAGGTGGAACAGGCCCCAAGGAGAGGTCCCTGCCTCTCTAGCACCACCCAGAACAGAGTATGCTTTGCCAAGCCCTCTCCAGCCTAGTTCAGGTCACAGACTCTACAGTTCTGGTCATAACCACTATGGAAAACAGGCCCTGCAGTGCTTGGAGTACTGGATGGCTTGGGAGGAACCTGCCCCCAAACCATCTTGAGGTCTTGCCTTTCAGCCTGGGGCAGAAGGGGCTGTACACTTGAGCAAGCCCCATAAAAACAGCAGCCTCCAAGGACTTGCTCATTTGCTTTTATTTTTTAAATGCAAATTGTCATGAAGTAAGTTTTTCTTTTTCCACTGTGTGGGTGGGAGGTCACCTCTAGAAGGAGGTAGAGGGGTCTCCCCCCCTCCGCCCCCGATTAGGAGAATTCCCCAGGTCATACCATTTTGTGTTTAGGGCAGCCACATCAAGCACTGGTGGGGTGCTTTACACCCCCAACCCTGAAAAGTTCCCCTTCTCCACTTCCTCTTTTCTCTCACACATACTTGAGTCAGGGAGGTGACGCGATCACTCCAACCTGTGGTGTGCAAATGGCAAGGGTTTTCATGGAAAGAATTCCTACGTAGTATACTTACCCGGGTACTCTCCACTCTGGGAAGATAGTGCCTGCTGCCTGTTTGATTCAGGCCAGACTGTGACTGCAGCTTCCTTTGACATCAGCCCTAGTGGCAGAGTTTAAAGCAGCAAAGCCCAGAGGCTGACCTGGAGACTCGGGCAAACACATTTCCAGAGCTTTGAGGGGATCTTCTCCCCCAATCCAGGACTGTGGATGCCTTGGAATGTGGTTTTGACTATTTGTTTTCTCCTAAACTTTCCAGAATATTCCTTATCAGTCTAGTTCCCAGGGAATAATATCATAAAACCCACAGAACAGCAGGACTTGGTAGGAATAGTGCAGGTTTCAGAGGCAAAGGCTGTGCTTCTGGTGATATCTCTTGGAAGTTGTGTAACCTTAGGGAATCACTCAGCCTTGGTGGTCATCCCTCATTGCCACAGCAGAGCGTAGAGCAGCAAGCTGGCAGACCTAAAGTCTATTTGGGCTTAGCCATCCCTCAAGGGTGAAAGCCATAGGACTGGTGATCCCATGACTTGTTTTGGACTCCTTCTCTGGGACGGTGACAGGCAGCACAGAACTGATTAAAATCTAGGGCTCCCTGCATAGCCAGGAAAGGACACATTTCTACCTCACCACAACTCAGTTACTCCACAGTGACCTTTCCCTCTCTTTGTTTCTTTCCTTCCTATCCCTTCCCTGAAGAAAGAGCTCAGTTCAGAGGTGGCCATGCAAACCGTACTGGTTCAGACCCCTTTTCACTGTGCTGGGGTGGAAATTCATGCTGTAATGCATTTACATGGCTGCTGGTGGAAAAAGGGTGGGTGAGGCAGGGAGGAAGGAGACAGAGAAATCTCCAGACCTGGCTTGATGCTTCTCAGTTTCTCAGTGCCCAGTCCTTGAACCACAGCTGTACCCCACACCTGCTAACCAGACCCTGGGATGGTGGGATGATGGTGGGTGGCGGCACCAAGCTGAATTTCTTATCAGTCCCTGGCCAATCTTAAGCCCCTGCAAACTGGGAGACCACAGGCCAGCTTCTAGTCCTGTCGCCTCCCTAATACAGCAAGAGGTGAGAAATGAGATGCTCACTGCGGTACCTCTCTGTTCCTATTTGTAAAATGGAAATAGTTACAGTGAGTTGGTGCTCTTAGTGTGCCAGACACAACTCTGAATGCTTTACATATATTTATTTGCACATTGCATCCGCAAATGCATGTTACACATGACTTACATACTACATGTGAATTTATATACATGAACTCTTAGTTCTGACAACAGCTTACCACATCATCACTATTATCTTTTCCAATGTTCAATTGAAGAAACTGAGGCACATGAAGGTTGCCTGAGACCATCCAGCTCAAAAAGGGAGCATCCCTCTTTCCACCGCATATCCTATGTTGGAGGGGACCAGCTTTCAGGAGGTCTTCATGCTCTGATGAGCAAGGGAAGCATTGCCTGGTTATCAGTCTCAATGACACTCATCTGCCCTGGATCCCCTTGTCCTATTTGAATCTCACTTACCCACTGCTGGTTTTAGCTTTTATGTCACTTCCTCTAGTGAATATCATAAAATATAACTAGCCTGTCAACTCACGATGTCACATTGCTTAGAATAGGACTGCAGATTTTTTAAGTGAATTAATATTAAGAGTAACAAACAGCATTAGGTAACTAGTAGTGTAGGTGACCCTCAACTATGACAAAGGAGAGCCAGTGGTCAGAGCACAGCCATGTGTTCTGTGAAGAGATGACCCACAGCTGACTGGTTGGGTGTCCTTGGGTCATCTCTGGACCTCACCACACCTCTCTTTCCTGATATCTGCCATAAGATAATCACTGTCTAGGAAGCTGGGTGCCCAAGCAGCCATACTCAGTGTCTCTACAGACTATAGACTATATCACCTTTTGCTCTTTGCCAGTTCTGCCTGAGGCCCTCAGTTTCTAAGTGTATGGAAGCCAGGCCACAGTAACCTGAGAGTCTGTAACATTCCTATCTTCCCAGTAACACAGAGGGAAACTAAGGCTTGGACATAAGAGGGCCCCCTGAACTACTGGGTCTCACAGCCAGCAGCATAGCTCTCCATGGCTCATAAGACTCCTAGGCCCATGGCTCATGACTACCAGCATTGCTCGTGTGTGTGTGTGTGTGTGTGTGTGTACGTGTGTGCACGTGTGTGTGTGCGTGGACGTGTGTGCATGCGTGTGTGTGCATGTGTGTGTGTGTGTGTGTGTGTGTGTGTGTGTGTGTGTGACTTCCTGCAAAAGTAACTAAAAGTCAGGCCTGCTGTTACCTGCAGGAGCTCCTGAGTTAGGCATGATTTAAGAGAATGTGAAACCAGAAGCTGAAATCACTGGGCCATTCAGCTCTTTGCCCACCAGCTACATGGGGTGCCTCTCCCAACTCTGAAGCCTCTCTTGGAGTTGGCCTTTGTCTTAATCTGCTAAGGATCAGGTGTTGACTGGGAAAAGCATGGAAACTGAGGGCCAGTGAGAAGTGTGTGACTCACTGAAGTGACCCAGATCTGGAAGTTCTCATGCTCTCCCTAGCTATAGTAATGGATCTTTCTGCCTTTGGTCTCTTCACCCTTCAAATAAGAATACATGTTCTGCAGGACTGAGCAGAGAATGGGACAGCAGGAATGACTAGCTTTACTCCACGGTTATCAATGGCAGCTACTGAGAATGTGTTCAACTCGGAAAAAAAAAATGATCATGTTACTCCATAGAATAATAGCGCTAAAAGGAGCCTGCTTTTTTTTGATTAAGTAATATCTGTGGCCAGTAACAACATATACTTGGCCTGGTGCTCCTTCCTGTCCCACACTCATTTCCTATTTTATACTTTTGTACATACACTCTGTTCCCTCTGACTCATTGCTGAGTTGAGCTATCACCCAATACTCTGTATTTTCTATTTCATCTTCTGTTCTCACCAAATGGAGTTTGTGTTTAGATGACAAGAAGGCCATAAGATACACTCAAATCTGTACTGCCAAGTAGTCACTAAGTTCAGAGCATGTGGCTGGTACAGGTCTTGGGTTATGGAATAGTAACGTACCCTGTATAGAAATGGGGCTGACTGCCAGTCACAGAAGCCACCCCATATATCCGTCACTCACCACGAGAGGCAGATTTTTGTATTTCTCATTTTATATGGGAAGAACTTGAGCTCAGATTAGTTTAAAATAAATCTTTTCCCAATTTGCAGAGCTATTAAGTGGAGGAGGTGGATTTCAGCCAGGTCTGATTTGAGTCAAAGCCCATTCTGTTTCCAGAAAACACTTTTGAAAATTCTCTCTGGATTCCCTTCATTCTTGGTATCTCTTCGCTTAATTTGCTTCCTTATCTTAAGCCTGTGATCATCATCCTCCCCTACCCCCAGCCAGCTCCCTCAGCACCTTTCTCCCTCCACTTCACTCAGCTATCTGGTTGGATTCAAACCACAAAGCCAGAGGGTTCCAGGAGTTGATGTGTTTGAATTTGGGAAAAAACAGAAACGTTCTATGTGGCGTTTATTTCCCTATAGGAACCAAAACTCAGAGAGGGTGGGAAGGGGTCCTGGCACCCTTGCTTGCTCAGAATGCCACCCTGAGGTATATAGCAGGTTGTGGTAACTTCCGGTGACTTGTCCTCTGCTTTTCTAGTGCTGGTGATAGGGGATGGGGACACAGGTGAGGACCAGTAAGTCATCAGACCCTAGCAAAAACTTACATGCCAGGTTGTCTTGGTGATGTCCAGTGTTCTCAATATAAACACATCTCTGTGTTGGGAATTCCACAGGAAATTTACTTTGCTACTGTGATACTGGACCTTGAGCTACTTAAGTGCCTTTCCCTTCACTGGAACACTTGTTTCTACAATGGGACGTTGCTTTCGTTTCTGTTTCTGTTAGTTTTTGTTTTTGACATTACAAAAGATGGTTGCTCTGTTTTGTCTTAACCTTAAATCAGATGTCAAACCACAAACCTCTCATCACACACAACACCTTCTGTGTATCGCATTTTAGCCATTGTTTTTGATAAGAGGCTTTTTGGTGGCTGCCTTTTGCCTAGCCCACCTAAAGATGTAGCCCAGAGGCCATTCTTAAGGACCTGATGGCATAGGGACTGCTCCACCTGCATTTCATATACTTCCTGGAGTCTCCTTTAAGGGGTAGGCTCAAGGTCAGACTTGGCCTGCACACACAAAGACACATGCTCAGCCTCCCCCCTGCCCCAGGACTCACCACCAGGTGGGGAGAAAACATCCCCTCATGGTCACACACATGTGATATGCAACTGGAGTCTTCCTGGGGATAAGAGTGGGTATAGGAAAGCAAAGGGCTGAGACTCTGGGAGGCTAGAGGTGACAAAGAGGCGGAGAGGAAAGGAATGGTCGACACAGAGACTCTGAGGCCTGAGATGCCTAATGGGTCTCAGAAAGGGATGTCACCCTCAGCTGAGCCAGCTGAGATAACAGATGTCCCTTTTATATAGGGACCATTGGACTGGGAAGAGTGGGTTTCCATCATGAAGGCATTTCCAGCCTGTTCTTCTCCAAACTAGGAAACCCAGTCCAGGAAGGGGAGGGTGGCCCATGCCCAGTGGCTTCGCCTCTATACAGCTGGCCTGGGCAGCTGGGAGGGACTTGCCAGAAAGCTGAACAAACCTCGTCATGGCCCCTCACTGGCACAACATCTCCTAGGACCTGGACTTCATTTGCCTGTGCCATTTCACATTCTTTTTCTTAAAGAGGACCTCCAAATTTGCATAAGCATCATGCACCACCAAATCTGGATCCACCCCTTACTAAAGCTGAGGACTTCTGACTTCAGACCCCATACAACTATAGTGCTACCTCTAATTATTGAGGTGGGGTATGAAGTACACAAGGAGAGAACCTCTTTTCTTAATTCAGTGAAGCAAAGTATGAGGGAAAGTACTTCCCACACACCCGCCGCCAGTTCAGGCAAAGTGCATAACAGGACAGGTCAGAGACCTCACCAAGTTGGCCTTTTCATGGTCTGATGCTGCTGTTTCTTAGGACCTCTGAATTTTTTTTTTTTGGCAGTACCTGGGTTTGAACTCAGGGCCTACACCTTGAGCCACCACTCACCAGCCCTTTTTTTGAAGGGTTTTTTTGAGATAGGGTCTTGAGAACTATTTGCCTGGGGCTGGCTTCAATTGCAATCCTCCTGATCTCTGCCTCCTGAGTAGCTAGGATGACAAATGTGAGCCACCAGTGCCCAGCTCCCAGACACTTAAGTACACTAAAGGTCATTGGGTTTCTATCTCACACCCAGGAATTCTTGCTTTTACGCAGTTTATTGCCATGACTCAGTTTCCCCCAAATGAACAGCACTTTTGAGTGTGCTATTCCACTGTGATAACTTGTTTCTGATTCATTTGTCACTTGATAACCAAACCCTGCATGACAACCCTGCTAATCTATTACTCATCCTGGCCTCAATCTCACTTCTGACACAATCTGCCCAAAAGACTTGAGAGTTGGAGGTAGGGCACATAGGCTGTAGGAGGCCAGTCTGGGATCTCAGCAGGGGGTGTCCGTACCCTGGAAAGTGGCCCGTTGGTGACACACAGCCTGCCTGCCTGAGTGCTGGGATTTCTCCAGGACGTTCTGGAGCCAGGGCACATGGAACAGCTCCTCCTGTGATCTCAAGAGGATGTAGGCTCCATGAGAGTAGGGGGACGGCTGGGCTCAGGGTAGGTGCTCAGTAAATAAGTGCCTGATGAATGAGTAAATCATTACTCAGCATTGCAAACTCAGATGCCCAGCTAGCAGGGGCAGAGATAACCATTGAGGTATATAGTGTCTGTCTATTGCTTGGTAGCACACAGTATTTCTCCAGCATTACCCTGATCTTGTGCCTGTAATTATGGCAAATTGCTAAGACTAGACAGGAGTATTCCTTGCCATCAAAAAGAAAATTCACATCTTAGCTCCATATCTGCCTAGGAAGCTGGCCTCATAGGAACCAGATGGTGTTTTTCTTTTTTAAAACTTCACGACAATGACAAAGTCCCTAGCTGTTCTTCCATTTCCCCATCCTAATAAAAGTCCTTATTGAGTAGATTTCTGGTGGTACCCACACTCTGCATGGAAGAAATTATTTTTTTTTAACCTCAGAGTTTGAGTTCAAGGGTCCTCTGAATCACTTAGACAAATCCCCTTGCCCCTAAACACCACACATATGGGGCCCACAGTCCAGGGAGGGGTCCTGAGGCAATGGCTGGGAGGGTTGATAGCACTCTGTCATCCCTGACAGTGCCACAAACTGTTATCTCAGAAGGGCCCTGGAATGAGGCAGCAGCCCCATTTCAACAATGGAGAGACTGAGAACTCTAGACACAGGGCAGACCTGGAAGCCAGGTCTCGTGACTACAGCTTGGGATTCCCACTTTTCAAATAAGAACAGTGGGGCCAAAGCAGGCTGCAAATAGGAGGATGTGTCCTGATCCTTGGGGCTCTTCAGACTCTCCCAAGGGAGAGCCTGAGGGGAGGCACCTAGAGTGCAAGTGAAGGGACTCCAGCGGAAAATCCCAGAACTGTTCCTCACTGCCTTTCTGCTCCTGCTGAGTCAAAACACTCCTTTGCTTTGCTTCCCAGGACTGGAGAGTGACTTCCTAGCTGTGCTGACTGACTACCCCTCTCCTGACATCAGCCCCCCGATATTCCGCCGAGGAGAGAAGCTGCGTGTGATTTCTGAGTAAGTTAGCTTTTAGCTTTTCAAAACTTTTATAGACTTCAAAACATGATGAACTCAGTTTGGATGGGAAACATTAGATTTTTAGCTACTCTTGTCCGGTTTCACATAGGCTCTGGCCCTACTGTAATGTGAGAAATTTGACCCCTTCTATGACTCCCACCCCTTAATATTCCAGCACTCTAAAACCTTCAATGGTTCCCCATTGCCTGCTATACACATTTTAAATTCCTTGACTGGGTTTTCAAGACCCTTTAGGACTCAAATTCTGTTTCCTTTCCTGGCCTCCTCTCTCACCACACATGTAATGTTATATACCAAGACAAGCTAGAAGGAGAACCCAGGGTCTGAAAACAATTTTGATGATAAACAAACAGTATTGGCTTCTATTCCTGCTGTCTCTGGTCTAATTCCAAACAGTCCATAGGACAAACTAGGGACTCTAAGCACCTTTTATTTAAATCCTTGTTGATACATAGGTATAGTCTTTGGTTATACTTCAGGGTATAAAACAACACAGAAAACATTTATTATTTTAAAGCTTCCAACTATGAACATTAGTTGAGGACATCAGCCACTGATCCCTGAAGGGTGGCCATTGCTGGCATGTGGGGAGGTTTCTAATGTATCTTTAGGGTGGAGGGGGGATGGTTGTCGACTGGATACGCATGCTTTACAAACCAAATTTTCAGGTGGAGAGATTCACAACATGACCAGTGACAGACCTTTAAAAAGCAATGCCCCATGGTGCCTTGGGTTAAATCTGCTGCCTGGACAGGTTTGCTTTGCCATTTACTTACCCACCTGTTCCTGTGCATTCTGTTCTCACAGTGAAGGGGGCTGGTGGAAAGCCATGTCTCTTAGCACTGGCCGGGAGAGCTACATTCCTGGAATATGTGTGGCCAGAGTTTACCACGGGTGAGTACATTTCTCAATTAGCATCATTAATCATGATTTCTATGTCATCATGAGATGACAGAGATATTTCAGCATGATATAGGGAAAGGAAGGGATTGGTTGATTGGGGACATTCTCACCCCTGTCCAGACCATCAGGAACAATGCAGTCCTAATCCTGGGACTCAATTTCCCCAGCAATAAAATGATGGAAGCTGAACCTTCTGACTTGACCATGGTGCCCCTGGAACACAGCACTGACAAGTCAGGTATTGTTAGCACAGGACACAGCACAGTCTAGCAGCTAAAAGTCAGTCTGTGGAGATTCAAACACCATCACTTATTGCCCTTATGACACTGAACCAGCTACTCAACTTTCTACATCTCATCAGTTTTCTTTCCACAGTTGCCAAAACAGCACAGTATAGAACAAGGAAGACAATTATGCATCATAATAGGATCGCGTACAGGTTTCCAGGGAAATGGGGTGTGGATGATATCTGGGTAGCTCTTGGAGCAAGGCCAGACATTACAGCATACGCTGGATAAATGTTAGCTGGATTCCTATCAAAGACTTATCCAGAAGCACAGAAAATGCACACTGCCACCTTGACAAACAGAGAGGTCAAGCACAGGAGGAGTGCCAGGCATCAGGCTAGGCAGGTAAGAAGCGAATACCATCCATCGCTTCTCCTGCAGCTGTGCAGGTGCAGCCTCGTGGCCTCCTGGGAGGCTCTGACATGCAGCACACCTGGGTTCTTAACCTGGTTTCCCTTATGTCATGGAGAGGCTTTGGAAAAATGACTCAGTCCAGCAACAGTCTCCTCACCTATCAAGGTCAGACCTCAGAGTACAAGGCATAGCAAAGAGGAAAGAAGAAGGAGGGATGCAAACAGCATGATATAAATAATGAATAACTTCACATCCCTGCCACCACATGCCTGGAAATGAACCACTGCTTCCACTGGAAGACCAGAATTCAGAGCATTTGATAGTAGTATTAGTGATCTTAATCATGAGTACCAGAAACCACTTCTACACTTAGGATGGCAAAGGTGGACCCATGAAGGAGACCCGAGTCTCTTGCCACTTCCAAATCAGGGGCAGGGAACATGCATCAGTGCCTTCACATTGAGGGCAGTGGAGCTGGGGGTGGGGAGGCGCTGGGGTGGTGGGCATCCCACGAGACAGACAATTTAGTAGAGGCAATGACATTTCTACAACACAGACTTGAAAGAGAGACAATGAGTTATAGTGGCTATGGAATTATAGGTCTAATTTCCCTCATTGCTGACATGACAACCTGGATAAATGACTTCATCTTCTCCCCGGGCCTCCACAAGCTCTACTGTGAAAGAGAGACAAGGCCACCTGCTGTGGGGAGTGGAGATGAGCACTTGATTTCATATGGGCATGACAGTAGGCAATGCGCTAAAATAACCAGTTTCCTACATGGCTGCTGCTACTATTTTGTTACCTTTATCTTTGTAAGTGGGACTTTATGAAAGGACTTGAATGAACATTTGTCACATACACTGGGCCAAATTTCTTTTTCTTAACCATTAACTGTAAAAAGCAAGAAACACATATGCATGGTGCAATGACAATTGTGTTTAAACACCTCAGGACAGCGAAGGCCAGGAGGAAATGAGAAAAGCACCACGTGGGGCTTCTCTGGGGGAGCCATGCACCACCTCTTATTCCTCAGAGAGTGAGTGTCCACTCAGTCATCACAGTTCTGTACCATACATGATGCCCTGGACACCAAGAAAAACCCAACAAAGAGAGGGGGCAGGGAGGGTGTGCACCATTGAGTGTAAAGGCCCCATGTCAGACAAAATGTCACAAAGGTTCATGGCAACATTTTGTAATACACATGTATTATCTAAAAAGGCACAGACACATTCCAACTGACATTTGAGAAACAGGCTAAATAAATAAAAGGTCCCATATACCTTGTGTCATCACTACCTAACACCTGGCACGAAATGGGTTCTTGGAGCATTTTATTTTAAAGGTTGTAAATATGTATGAATGAATGAATGAATTGTTGAATGAATGAATGGTCAGTTGACATCTTTCCTCTTTGTAACTGCAGCAGATTTATAGTAAATGGATCTTAACCATATACTAGCTCTTAAGTTAGCTGGTCTTGATTTCCATGGCAGGGCCCAGGCCGCTCATAGCTGTCTTTTTCCTTCCCAGCTGGCTGTTCGAAGGGCTGAGCAGGGACAAGGCAGAGGAGCTGCTGCAGCTGCCAGACACAAAGATTGGCTCCTTCATGATCAGAGAGAGTGAGACCAAGAAAGGTAAGCTGCTGTGTCTCCACACATGACTTCATCTGCCTCCTCTACCATGCACACACAAATGGATCCACGCGGTCCAGAGGCCTGGAGACAGGGAACAGCCTGGCTGGGCTCTGCCACAGGCCATGCCCAAGAGAGAGCAGCCCTTGACTCCTGTTGGAAAATTTTCCATCGACTGAGAACAAAACCGAATGCTGGGTGTGGTCAGCAGGCTGGGTGCACAGAACGTGGGTGCTGTTGTAGGCCCAACCTGTGTTCTCTGGCTTTGTGCGTAGGCAGGTTATTTACTTCTCTGAACTCAGTTTTCTCATCTGTGACATGGACAGAAAGCCCCTCCCTTGTAGAGTTGTGGTGATATTCAAATGAGATAACAGTTGTGGTGTTCTTTCTACACACCAAGGCCCTCCACACCAGTTCCCTCTGTGCCCCACGATGACATGAAACAGTGTAGAGAATGAGGCCAAGCAGATGCCGGTGCTTGCACATTCACCATGATCCTTATCGTTATAGCTTCCTGTGTCAGTAAACACAGAAGTAGCGAGTCCCTTCTGTAGCTCAGAGCCAGGGTCCCAAAACCTAGTTTCAGCCATGAATTACTAAGCGACTACCTCTTCTCTGAGCCATGTTCCCTCATTTACAGCTTGGGGTTCATGGTAGGAGAGCACTTAGCTCTGTACTGGGGGTATAGTCAGGTCTTTAAGTCACAGGGGCCAAAAATACTTAGGAGGTAGGCCTCTAATCATTTGTAATCACTACAACTTTTTAAATACAGGAGACCTTTAAGTTCTCAGCCAGCTTCTTGCTCACTTGCTGTCAGAGAAGAAAAAAGAGCATCGGGAGGACTATTTCCTGGCCACCTACTAAGTGGTGGGCCACCTGGAGCTGGAGGCATTGCCAAGAAGAGTGGCAGCCAGGCTGTGGGAAGCAGGGGCTGTACATATGTGATTTTAAAAATCCTAGGACAACCTGAATGTGCAGGGGGAGAGCAAGATGAAAGCAGAGGCAAGAGGCCTTGTGCATGTCCCAGGAGTCCCTGGAGGTGGGACCTCCAGATTCATAGCCTCCTAGGATGGGCTGGTCAAAGGCAGGGAGGTCCACAGGGCACCACAGCTCAGTGGAAAAATACCACCCGCCAGGGAAGATCTGCTCCACCCCTGGGTATGCAAAGTTCTGATGGTTTTCCACTTGCCCCCTAGACCCGGATGCCGTACTCATCCAGTTCCCATAGAAGTCGCACTATCAGTGGTTCAGTGAGCAGGCCAGAGTACAGCCAGGTCTGCAGGCCCCTCATGATAGGCCAGGAGGCCACACCCAGGGCTGCTGTCTGTAAGCAGTGTGCTCTGTACTCCTCACTCAGGGTGCTTTCTCTGTCAATACAACACATGGGGACAGTCCCTGCTAGCCTTCATGAGAATGGGCAGAGAGTTATTGCTCAAAGTGGCTTAACCTCTGCCCAGCACAGACCCCAGGGACATCATCACTGCCCCCTCTCACTACCTTTTGAAAGTTGCACTCCAGAGACCCCAGAGGATGGAACAGAGGGACACTTAAACATGACCTCAGTCCAGTTCTCGCCTTTTCCACTCAGGGAAACAGAGGCTGTAAGAGAGGATGGTACATGCTGGGTTCTCTTACCAACCCGTGTTGGGCCATTAATGACACTGAAGGAGAAATGATGCCTTTCACATCAACATCCTAACAGCCATTTGTTCCACATTTCTAAGAAAACCAAATTTAAGTCGAGACAGGGAAGGTGGCATAACAGTGAGTTCCACTGATATGTGCTGCGGTGGCACTGGCGGAAAGGGGCTGAAGGAGAAGTTAACATTTCTCCGTGAGCACTCGGGAAGGGTTCAAGGACCACAGAAACTGATCCAAGGCAGCAGCCAAGCTGTAGGCCATGAGTGCCGCCTCTGGAGTCGCAGGGACACCCCAAACGTCTTCTCAAACAGCAAGAGAGACAGCTTGGAGACCTGTGTCAGCAAGGTCATTACCAGTACATTTAGGAGAACGTGAGGTAGCATGCTGAGGGCTTTAAGCAGTAGCTTCACCTAAGAGAAATTCCAGCTGTGGAGGGGCTCCCGCTCACACAAGTAATATGTCCTAGTGTCCCTTGGTGACCCAAGGTGAGCAGCTCTCTGCCTTGGTGGAGGTGGGCTGCTCACCTGGCACATTCGGGTGGAGACATGTGGATGCTATTAACTCCCTGTCACCTCTCTCAGGTTTCTATTCGCTGTCGGTGAGGCACAGACAGGTGAAACACTACCGCATCTTCCGCCTGCCCAACAACTGGTACTACATCTCACCAAGACTCACTTTCCAGTGCCTGGAGGACCTGGTGAACCACTATTCAGGTAAGAAGCAGTGGGCTGTGGAGCAAGCCCTCTGCACTTCTGAGCACCCACTGTAGTCTAGGCTGTGGCTCTGGGCACCAAGAAAAGCTAGAGATTGTCTCCTGCTTTCTGCCATCCTGACTTCTTCACATGTTCATTCAGAGTGTAAACTTTAGACCAAACCACACTGCCTGTGAGTGCTGCTTAGAAAACACAAGGTACCACATCTCAAGTCAGCCCTCTCTCTGTCTATAAATAAAACAGACCTAGAAGCCCCTGTATGCATAACCACAGTCAGTTTGTACCCCAGTTATGTGGCACTACACTTTCAGGACTCTGGGGCTTTGTGCTGAAATGCCTCTCATTTTCCCTTTTTTGCTTGTCAAAATCCTCTTCAACCTTCAAGGCTAACATGACACATCACAGGGATTAAGATTAGCTGTCCATCTTCTCTGACCCAGAACATGCCAGGGGCTTCTCTCTCTAGCACCCTGGTAGATCCACCATGTGGCACAGTTCATTGTGGGATAGTCTGTTTGATGACAAGCTCCCAAAAACTAGGAATTATATTGTGTTCATCTGTGTATCCTTCCTGGGCCCAGGAGAGATGTCCAAGTTTTCCTGGCCAACCATGATGGAGCGCATCATCCAGTATGGAGGCAGAATTGCATGGTGGTGATGGAGCCAGAGGGAGAACATTGAGTTAGACTGTGAAAGCCTGGATGCCAGTTTAAGAGTTGGAATTTTACCCTATGACAAGGGACAAATTGGAAACAGTTGGCTGGCTGAGTTTCCAAACACTGGTTCTGACCCCTCTGTGGCTATATTCCAGGTCTGCTCATGGAAACTAGGCCTTCTTTGGCTATTTGCCTCTTTGTGTCTCACTTTCTTCCTGTGCTGTGCAGAAATAAATTGCTCCTACCTTCTAGGGATATAGTGACAATCATGGGGCTAGTGTGTGGAAGGTGCAAAGGACAGGGCCTCCTGGCACCTTACCTAGAGCACCTAATGAATGGCAGCTGCTTTTCCTGGATGGAATTGCTTCTTTCTCTTCTTTTCCTCTGCCCTACTGGAGGGAGGAATTGAAGAGCAGATCTGGCTTTATTAGCATCTTCCTTCTTCTGGGTTCAGAATGCCTGATCTTCCACCCATGGGCAAGCTTTGCCAGAATTCTTTAGGATTTGGAGTCTTAAATTGAAGAAGCAAAGGAGCCCACCTCTGACAAGCAGCAGGTGTAAAGGAGCAAGGGTTGCTGGGAGAAGCAGGTCTAAACTTGGCTCTGAGCTGTGGGAGCTCTTGGGCAGGGCCTCCACCTCTCACAGCTTCAGTTTTCATTCATGGAAGGTGGGCGAGAACAGTTCTTCACAGAGCACTGTATGATTACTAAATGAAATCCTTCATGCACCATGTCCAGCCTAGCACAGCATGGCGTATGGTGGATGCAAAAAAAAATGATAACAAATATTGCTTCTGTGCTAACTGGAAACCTAGCAGCTAGCTAAAACTGAAAGAGGAAGGGAGTCCTGGAAACAGCCTCTGCTGGGTACACATACAAGTTGGTTGTGGTATTTGGCTCTTAATAGCAATCATCTGAGGGGTGTGCAGACCAGAAGTTTTGCATAGACAACAGCAAACATGAAACAAATGCTACTCAGCAGAGCTCTTAGGGACCAGGAGGACACGAGGCTGAAAGGCCAGGAACCCCCAAGTCCACCTGGCTGCTGGACCACCAGGAGGACCTTGCACTGGAGCAGAATTAGTGCCTTCCAGAAAGATGCTCCTGGCCATTGCATGGATTTATGGGGTGCAGCCATTGGCTCACCTCTGTGAATATTTGGGGAGGATCTGAAAACCTAGAATGCTTCTTGTGCCTCTTCTAAATCTGGCCAGAACAGCAAAGAGATATAAAGGGGAAAATGGGGCCCCTGAATGCAGAGAGGCTGGAGTCCAGGGTTCAGAGCAAGGAGCAGCTGGCAGCTGTGTGGATTGTGGATGAGTGAGTGAGACGGTGTGTCTCACCTGAGACACAGAGTAGGCATCACCTCCATTCAAGAGGCAAAGCCCTATTTTCAGAATGTGTAACTGGATCAGAGTCAATGAGATGGGAATATCGGTCACATTTCTGTCACCCTTAGCAAGTGGCTCCACCCAGGATCCTCTGTCTTCTTAACCCAAAATGGGTACAAAATTCCAACTGCACAATGTTGAGGCAAAGTTGAGAAATGAAATGAGTGAGGCCGGCTCAGCCCTTGGCGCCTGTCCCGTGCTTGTGACTGTGACTCCATTTGCTCCACACCATTTAGTTTCCACCCCAAGTGTGACCCAGCTACTGCAGGGTGCTCTCAGAGTGTGCTCCACTGTACTGCAGAGCACTGCTGATGTTTCTAGGCTGATTTCTGATCTCCTCCCCTCCTGGGGAGATAATTACTGTAGATTGAGATCCAACCATACTTCCTTTGACATCAGCTTCCCACCTCCTATCCCTCCAGTGTGCCCACCTAGGCTCAGAGTGAAATCTTCTAGAAACCAGCAACAGGAGTGGGGTTGCCACCTTGGCCAAGCACTGTGTACTTCCTAGACAGTTTCCTTTTATTCTGGGGAAAAGACATCCAAGAGCTCCACAAATCAGCTGGTGGATGGGGTTGGGTGGTGGCAAAAGAACTATGATGTGTTCTCTAAAACTTGATAATGAGTGACCTGAGACCAGGATGGCCTAGCCCTACTGGAGTCCAGCTGCACATATCACATCCCAGGCCACAGTGTCTCTCCTAGGACCGGGGGAGCACTGGAACCTCAGATTGAGGACATAGACTTGCCTTAGTCTCTCAGGGGCTCAGGAAAGCATGGGCCAAAGTTGCTCCTGAGAATATGGGCAGGGAGGATATGACATATGGGGACCACATCTCTGTGTTCTCAATGATCTGGGAGACCTGAGGCCATAGGCTTAGATATGCCAAAGGAGCCAAGGGGCAGAGAAATGGGTTCACTGAACTTTCATTCTCTTTCTGCAGGAGTTCCCAGGGCTGAAGGGGGCTTTCTTACTCTCTCATACTTCACATTCCCTCTCTTGTGTCTTTATCTTTGCTTCTCTCCTACCTCATTCCTGTGTCTTCATACTGTTTCTGCTCTCTTCACTCCCCCCTACCCCCCCAAACACACTCCTCTTCCTCTTTCTCTCCCTCCCCTCTTCTTACTCCCCTTCCTTCCTTCGTTCCTCTGTCTTGCTTTCTTCCTACAGATGAGTTTGACCCACTCCGCTTGCTCTTCTAAACACTTCTTTGCATGCTTTAGGGACATCTGCATTACACATGGGCCCAGGCCCCACCCATTCTTACACACAGTTTCAGTATATTTAGATGGAATCTGGCCTGCTGTGAAACCACTGCCCTCCTGTGGGCCTCTGTCAGCTGTTCTCTCTGGTTCCCTCATTCCCCTCACTCTGCAATGGAAAGGGAGGTTCAGAGGTTCCAGATCATCCTGCATCAGGCACAGCTGAAACTCAATCCCAGGTTTGGGTGACTCTGGATCCAAAACCCACTGTTTCATTTGCCTAGCTATGTACAGAACATGGATCATTGGAGTGCAATAACACTTGCCAAACACCTGGATGCGTGACTCCCCCCAGCCTTGCCACTCCCTACCATGCCCTTTCCACATCCTAGCCTAGTTTTCCCAGGCCAACAGACTGGGGGCCAGGCTGGAGTGTGTCTCAGGCCCACACTCCACACTGACTGTGGCAACCCAGGTCCCTGATCTCTGTCTGCTTCACTCCACAGAGGTGGCTGATGGCCTGTGCTGTGTGCTTACCACTCCCTGCCTGACACAGAACACACCCACTCCAGCAGTGAGGGCCCCCAGCTCGCCTGTCACCTTGCGCCAGAAGACCTTCAACTGGAAGAGAGTGCCCAGGTGTGTGTGTGTGTGTGTGTGTGTGTGTGTGTGTGTGTTATGTCCTCCATAAATATCTGAGAAAAAGACTGTGTGAGCCTGGCACATGAACCCATGGCCAGGGACAACCCAGACAGGTGCAGACTCTTGGAGTTCCACAGACCCAGCTTCCATATGATGCAGAGTGTGGCAACTTCCCACCAAGACTCACTGTCCACCTGTTCTTGAAAGCATTTAGAGTCACTAGTCAGTGTGAACAGCACATTTTCTAGCAGAAATATACTACCTTCCTCTATCTAATTATTAAGTCATTATTTACACAAATAAATCTTGTACAAATTTAATGGGATTTTAAACCCACACACAACAGCAAAATTCTAAGAGAAAAACAATCTTCCGCTATTTTGTTCTCTTTATTCAACTGTCAGCTAAGGGATTGTAAGTGCATGTCTGTAGTTTGTGATTGGGGTATCTTATCACTTGAACATGGCTCCAGAGATCCCATTGACAAATTCAAAGAAAATCAGCGCTCAGAATTAATCGAACTATTCTTCCTTTTAAATATCATAAAGACCTGTTCACTAAGAGTTATAATTGGAAGTTTCAGCCATTTGAAAAAATAGTAGTTCAGAAAAGTGAAGTGATTTGTCTAAGATCACACAGCACACAGATGTAAGAACCTGCATTGGAACAATAAGTTACAGGGAGGTTAACCAGGCTCTTTTTTTTCTTTCTTCACTTTCTAATTCTTTGTCCTGCATCCCCTCCTCTGTCCATGTCGGTCTCTTCATTCCCTTCCTCTGCTCCTGTTTTCCCACTCACAGACTGCAGGAGGACCCAGAGGGAGCGGAGAACCCGCTTGGGGTGGATGAGTCCCTCTTCAGCTATGGCCTTCGGGAAAGCATCGTATCCTACCTGTCCCTCACCACGGATGACACCAGCCCCTTTGACAGGAAGAAAAAGAGCATGTCCCTCATGTACAGCGGGAGCAAGCGAAAGAGTTCATTCTTCTCTGCACCACCCTACTTCGAAGACTAGCCAGAGGACAGAGGCCCTGGCTGGCATCCAAAGGACAGCAGTTTTCTGACTGTCACCTATGATCCTGTGAAAGGCTGAGTTCTCTGGTCCCTGGACACCTCACATCTTCCAGAGGCCAAGAGAAGCCACATGGAGACTCCAATGTGAGTCTTTTCTCTGCCTCATGACCAAAGGAGCTCCTCCCTGGTGTCTGATCAATGCAGCAATACCACAACGTGTTGACTCATGACGATGAGACAACATTCGTGAGAACCCAGTGTGTGTGTGTGTGTGTGTGTGTGTGCGCGCGCGCGCGCGCGTGCACGCGTGTGTGCCCGTGCATGTGTTTGTGTGCACACCCAGTATAAGGGAGGACAAGGACACTCACAAGAAAGTGCTCATGAACTGTTCTTCAGCAATCAGTGGGGACTGCCCCATTCTGTATCCCTGGGAGAACTTGCATCTGAGAAAGGCTCAAGGAAGATGAGCCGAAGGCTGCAGCTGCAGACAGTTTGGGTCAACAGGGAAGTCCCTGACAGAGCTGCCTTCACCAGCCCTGGGATACCTTGGGGACACACCACCTCTCTTTCTAAGGGACATGTGACACTAACCACTGGCCTGAGAGATTTATTAGCTCTGAGCCAGGAGGAGCTTTGAGCATCCTGGTATCAAATCCACACAGGCAGGGCAGCAATCAGGTGGCCGCCCTACTCTAGGAAGGCACATGGGAGAGAGGGAGGCTGCTGGGGGAAGGCAGGTGGCAGTGCAAAGGCATGAGCTCCTGGGACTGATGGCACAGCTGTCCACAGAGCCAAAAGGGCTTCTCCAGCCTGGGGTTCTGGCCTATGCAAAGTCACCTTTATTCCTTCAGGATGGTCTCAGAAGGGGTTGAGTAAAATCCTATGTCAAGTGTCAGGCCAGAAAAAAATGAACAAGCCCTAGCCCTCAGCAGCGTGCTCAGAGAGGAGACAGGAAGAAGAACAGATCAATGGCTAATGGAACAGTGGGTGAGGAGGGAGCCAGCACTCACAGCTAACACAGGACAGGGGGCAGGTGATGGCCACCCAGGGGTTCATGTTCCTGTGGATCTGCATTAGGGCTGCTGGACTGAGGAGGTAAGAATGGGTAAAATCATTTCAAAAGGAAACTGATCCAATCCATTGTAAAGCATGAACTCAGTCTGCATTTTACCCTAAGAAGGGTCTGACATCCATGTGAATAAGAATGCCATGCCCCATGAAGGGGGAGCCAGGCCTGCTGAATTCTGCCTTATTCAATTGTGAGACAAGGGAGAGGTGCAGGGCATCTTGAGAAGGGGGAGAAGGGGAAGGTTTGGTCCAAGCCAGAGCTGGATCCTGCCTGGGAAGGGAGGTAGCCACAGACGGATGTATGACTCACTGTTCCGTGGAGGAGGGTACGTGCATGTGGTATGTCTGTGACTGTGTGCACATTCCACAGCCTTGACCTCAGCCTATGAGTGGAATGTGCATATGCATTTAGAGGACTTTCTGTATCATCAGACTCCAAGTGTTTAGACGTGGAAACATTTGTGGTTCCTTACACTCCCCTAGGGCTGTTTCAGAGAAACCAGCCAGCTCATGAGAAAGGTTGTTACACTGAGGAGAGTGACTTCTACCTCCAGGCAGGCAACCTCCTGGCTCCAGATGTCTGTTTAGTATCTCCTGTGTTGTTTATGTTGTGACCAGTGTGACTGGAACTTTCGGGGAGCATTCATGGGGACTTGTAAGTGGGATGCATTACATTTTGCTCAATCCTGTATTTATTTCTGATTAAAGTAAACCTAATAAATATTTAACCATGAAATGGGGGAGTTCTGGGTTGAGTTGGGTGGAAGGCCCCCTCAGGAGCTCTGTGGGTTTTGGTTTTCAAGGAAGCATGCATCTGCAGAGACAGATGAGGCTGGCAAGAGACACTTACCCTGGTCGTCTGCATCTTGAAGTGGGGGATTGAAGCAGGGAAAGGGAGCAAATTCTTTGCCATTGCTATGAAAATTCCATGTCTGTACATTACTTGTAATACTCCAACTACTCATTCTTCTAAGAATTTACTGCACAAATGTTCTTTTGGATAACAGTTCAATAGAATCTACTCTAAGTGCTGGGGCAATAGCAGTAGCTAACAGATGAGGTCTCTGATGTCATGGAGCTTGGGGTCCTAAGTAAAGAGACACTTTCTGAGGAAGGGGAGTAACATGCAGAAAACAGCAGGCTCCATGCAGCCCTGACAGGTGAGAACCCTTTAGATGAATGCTGAGGAGGGGCCTCCAAATAGAGGTAACATTTGAGCTGAGGCCTAAAAGAGGAGCAGCAAACAATCATGCAAAGATAGAGGAGGGGTAGTGCAGGTAATAGGACACCAGGGCTGTTCCTGCAAGAATGATCAGGGGCCGAAGGCACCAAGAGATGGGCCGGTGGCCTGGGCTGAAAGTGCTGGACAAGGGGGTGCCCTCAAGAGGGAGGAGTGCTGCAGGGCCCCAGAAGGAAGTAAGGGGATTTAGCATTTACTCCAGGAGACATAGGAGGCCATGGTAAGGATCTTAGAAGGGAAGTGATAGCATCTCATTCATGTGTTTGAAAGATCACCTGGCTGCTGTGTGGAGGATGGATTTTTAAAATTCTGACATTGTATTGTTTACTTGGCACATACTTAAAGCAAACAGATGCAAAGAGTTTGAAAATAAAAGGGTAGAAAATTTTGCATGGAAGAAATGAATGAAAAGGGAGAAAACTTGTTCTACATGTTGAGGCAAAATGGAATTTAAGGTGAGAATAAGTTACATAAGGGCAAAGAGAGATGTTACAAGAGAGTAACCAGTTGAGAAGGTAGAATGCTTGCAACCAGCGCTAATCAAATGATTCAGTTTCAGAGTACATTACACAACTATTATAGGGACATATGGACAGATCAATACCTTCATTTGAAGATTTTAATACCAACCTCTCAGAAACTGCCAAACCTGCCAACTTCTTCTGGCTCATTTTTTGACAGAAGAGCTATATAGTGTTATCCAAATATATATGCTTCTTGATTTGTTTACTTATCAAAGTACATTATATGCATAACGGAAAATGTCTCAAGGAAACCAGTTCTTTTGTACAGTCAATATATGCTAAAAAAGACCAAAAGAAGAAAAACAAGAAATCTGGGATACACACATAAAGTAATATTGAAAAACACAGCACATCAGCATCCTTCCACTTATGACCTGTGCTCATAAGGCAATCGATTAGAAGCCAATTTTCAAAGGGATGGAAAAATTCTATAATTCTCAATGTTTTTTTAAATTGGGCTATGAAGAAAATCATGAGGAGAGCTAAGATGATGAATTAGAGATATCTACCGCTTCTCTGTGTCTCCAGAAATCTGAAATAGAACCTTAGGCTACAAGGAAAAGCAGGCAGTTTAGATAGACAAGGAAGGGCACAAGTAAGGAGTAGACAGAGACCAGGGGAAACCTGATGTATCCAACTCTAGATCTCCAAAAGAAACAAAGGACCCTGCTTTAGAGTGCTGCAAAATGGTATGCGAGGGGGACACTGAGGTGTCAGTGGGACTGCAAGAAAAAGAAAAGAAGAAAGTTCCCCCAGGAAACCTCACAGGCACACAGACTGTCGCTCGGCATAAGTGAAGTTTGGGACAGGAGGTCTGTGTCCCACACAGCAAGCAGAAGCCCAAGAAGGGGTTCTCTGTACTTCCTTGCCCACTGACCAGTGCCATGAGTGAGTCCAGGGGAGTCTACCTAGGAGAGCCTTTAAGATAAATCCCCCATCTGGGAAGAGCACAAGACCTTGATTTTTTATACCTCCAACCCCAAAGACCTCCTCAACTCCATTAGCTAAGCAAATGACCATTTTAAGAATCAGAAAATTAGTAGGGACTTCAACTCAGATCTGTAGTCACAGAACTACAAGCATGGATATTGCAAGCTGTGTGTCGAGTGTCACCCACAAGTGGAGTACCTGCCTGGCATACTTGAGTGGAGATAAGAAATCCTACCTGGGGGCAAGCCTGAGGCTACACCATGACCTGAGCCCCCACCCTGTGTATTAGGGTGGAGAGCACAAGCTTTGCAGGGAATGCTCTCCACACCCCATACCTAGAGCTGTGGGCCAGCATACTTAGGAGGAGCTGGCAACCCGTGTTCCTGAGCTCCCAACTGCTTCTGGCATTCAGAGCAACATTGCACCCCTGCCACGGGCACTGCTGCATGGTAGAAGCTACTCTGTTCCCTGCAGCTGATGCTATGTGCTGGAATCTGACCTGCCTCCCAGAGCCACTGTCTTACACCTGCAGCTACTGAAACTCCTGGAGCCACTCAGAATCATAGTGCAGCACTGTGCCAGGTGGCACTCAGAGGGCAATTGCAGGTAAGAAACCAGCAGTGAACACATCAGAGCAACCCTGGACTGAACTCTTAGGGCCAGATACTGGCTATCCTGCAGGGATCCAGACTATATCTATCCTCCTCATCAGCAAGGAAGAAATGCAGATGGGTTTTCTTTTTTTTCACTGACTGTTTTGTCTTTCCCTGAGAGACATATTTCTTGTATCTCATTCCATAGACTTTTCCTGCCTTTACCTATTGTCCATCTTTTTTTCTTTGCCTACCCCTCTTTTTATTAATTAATTTTAATACATAGTCTTTTAATAATTTTCCAATTCCTAGTTTTCCCTGTAATAACACTAGCTCCTTTCTTCTATATACTTTTTGGGGGTGTAGTTGATATTTCCAATTTTAAACTACACTTAAATATATAGTTTGCTTTTGAATTGTTGATTATATTAATTCTATCAGAGTTCTCTCTTCTGAATGGTAGTGAAAGAGTTATCCACCCCAACATATGTGAAAATCGCAAAATAGAAACAGAAGTAATATGAAAAAGCAAAGTAATGTGACTTCTCCAAAAGCTTATGACAACTCAATAACTGAACCCAAAGATAATGAAATGTCAGACAAAGAATTTGAAAGTTTATTTTTTATAAATAATGACTTCAAGGAGGTCAAAACAAGAACAAGCCAAATTTGACAACAGTAGATAGAAAGAAATTAATAAAGATTAGGGTAGAAATTAATGAAATGAAGGCTGAAAGAACAACACAATGAATCAATAAAACAAAGAGCTGGTTCTTTTAAAAGATAAGACTGAAAAACCTTTAGCCAAATTAACTGAAAGAAAGAGGAGAAAATCCAAATTGACAAAATTAGAGATGAAAAAGGTTATATCATAAATACCAATAAAATTCAGGGAATCATTAGAGAATTTTTTGAAAACTTATATTCTAACAAAAATTGAAGAAATATTTGTCGACATATGATCAACCAAAATTGAGCTAAGAGAATGTAACAGATCCACAATAAGCAAAAAGAATGAAGCAGTAATAAACAGTCTCCAGCAAAGAAAAGCCCAAGACTGGATGGATTAACTAATGAATTCTACCAGAATTTTAAAGAAAAGCTAACACCAATGATCCTTAAACTATTTCATAAAATATAAAGGAAAGGAATGCTACAAAAATCATTCTACAAATCCAGTATTACCCTGATACCAAAACTGAATAAGGATACAACAAAAAAGAATATTAGAGACCAATTTCCATGATAAACATAAACACAAAAATCTTTAATAATCAAAAGATTATTGCAAACAAAGATTGCAAACAAAATTCAACAACACAGTTAAAAAGATCACACATTCTTATCAAGTTGGTTTCATTCTAGGAATGCAAGGATAGATTAACAAATGCAAATCTATAAATGATAGCACATAAATAGAATATATGAACAAAAAAATCACAGTCATTGCAAGAGATGTAGAAAACGTCTTTAATAAAATCCCATCTCTTCATGTTGAAAACCCTGAAGAATCTGAACAGAAGGAACATACATCAACATAATAAAAGCTGTATGTGACAAACCTATAGCCAACACTGTACTAAATAGGGAAAACTGAAAATTTTTCCTCTAATAAGGTAAGAGAAAAAAAGTGAGATAGAAATAGGAAAGAAAGAAGTTAAATTGTCTTATTTGCAGACAGTCTGATCCTATACTTAAAAAAACCCTAAAGTCTTCATAAGAAAACTTAGTTCTGATAAACACTTTTAGCAAAATAGAATACAAAAATCAGTAGCTTTTCTATACAAAAATAACAAACATGCACAGAAAGAAATCAAGAAAACAGTCCTTCCAATAATCTCAAAAATAAAATAAAACACATAGGAATAATATTAACTAAGGAGGTGATATTCCATTCCTCGGCATATATTCAAAGAATTTTAAGTCAACATATAATAAAGATACCTGTACACCTAAGGTTTATTGCAGTACTATTCACAATAGCTAAACTATGAAATCAACCGAGTACCCATCAGCTGATGAGTTAATCAGGAAAATGTGTTATGTATACACAATAGAGTATTCAGCCATAAAGAAGAATAAAATTATGTTGTTAGCAGGAAAATGGATGGGACTGGAGATCACCATGTTAAGCAAAATAAGCCAGACTCGGAAAGACAAATACCACATGTTTTCTCTAATATGTGAAATCTGGACCTAAAAAAAAATGACATGAATGCAAAAGGGAGACTGCTTGGGCAGGAAACCACTGAGAGAGGACAGGGTGGGGGGAAGGAGAGGGTGATATGATCACAACATATTTTATGCACACATGAAAACAGCATGATGAAATCCACAAAAACTGCAAAAAACATAAGTGGGAGGGGGTAAGAGAGAAATAGAGTGGGTGAACTTGGTCAAAGTGCAATATATGCATGTGTGGAAGTATCACAATGAAATCCTTTGTACAATTAATACACACTAATAAAAATGAAAATTATGCAAGAAATAAAATACTTAGAAACAAATGGCATTTGCTACTTTTCAGAACTTCTGGGGCATAGCTAATAATATAGTAAGAGAGAATCTTACTCATCAAAATAGAGAGTACTGATCAGCAAACCAAGAAGAAGTAAGGAAATTGCCCTCTGATCAGGAGCTAAGAGAATGTCACATGGCACTGAACTAGAGAAAGCTGACGGAGATGAGAGGGTGATGTCAATGATTTAGTTTTAAAAACAGCCATAGTGAAGACTTTATAAAGCAAAATGTAGGATCGATATGATAGATAAGACATGAATCAGCACAATCAAAAGAGATGAAGAAGGAGAACAAAAGCAAGTCAAGTGCAGCTCTACTTGTAAGAGGTCTTCAGGACAGCGGAAGCCCTGTGTTACAAATCTAGAATGGCGGGG